AAACCTACCTGACGTTATACCAAGTTGCAGTACCTTGAATTTAATTTGAAGAGGCATGTGGAAAGGATTCGAAAGTTATCCTTACCGAAGTTCTTTCCAGTCGCCTCTTGAAACAAAATGAAAGGTACTCTTACATCAACCTATTAAAGGATTCTTCTGAATCCAGTTTTTCTACATACCTACGTTATTGTACGTGTCTAGTGACCACTCAAATTACTGTGTTGTCAACCTGTTTCAGCCACTTTGTGTATAGGCAAATTGGTAGACGTTCAGGTAATGACTCTCAACGTTGAAGGTCATTTGAAGAAGGTGAATGACTGGAATGCCCTCAGGAGGGCCTACCCGCCAGGGGGGATCCAGCTTGTATCTACCAAAGAGGACGATTCTTAAAGAGTGGATGAGAAACCCATCTCCCAAGGGTCGGCCTGCAAGATAGAATCGTGGCCATCGTAACAATTGCTGGCCCCTATTCGCCACATGACGGCTCAAATTGCAGTTTTCTTGGGCTTATTCCCACCCATCGGTCCAGGGTCGACAGAGTAACATGTGGCTTCTGCCTCGTCTTGGCAGAACGAGGCAGGAGAGGCCGAAAGAACATGTGCAGAAAGGGCCAAAAGTCTGCACTGATGTTCAGCAAACCTCACCGAGCGCTAGATCCGCTCCAGCGATGACAACATGTCAACGCTTCTCCAGACGAACCGAGTCGGCCTTAAATGCACAAACGCACCGCTCCCGATGGTTCCAAATGCACACACGCATCCTCGAAATGCAGTTCTGCGGCCATCTCAGACCGGGACAGATGGGCTGGCCGCGAGGTCTAGCAACACAAATTCTGAACTTCGACCCAGCCCAGGTCCTCCTCCGATGTCCACTGACCACTTAAGATGCCAAACTTTAATTAAGGCAAGCTGAGACCCATCCAGACATGCTAGCGAGTGTGCAGATGAGGCAAACCTGTTTTTTTCCATTACACACAGCTATGCTACTTATATTCACTGTCAGTAGGTTCCGGCGCTAGCAGCAGATGTTGAGCGAGATCGACTCTTCCGATCAAGCCCATTACATGTATGGAAAAGTTGGGTTTCGAGGAATCATCTCTTGGCTCGCAATTGCTCGGTTCACCTCCATTTTGAGTGAAAGTGCTTGATTAAAAGAATATGAGAAGACTACGTTTGATTCCTGAAACCTAATATTACTGGGACATTATTTCTGATGATGTCGCGTAGGCAGTCTCCTTCGAAGTGTGCCAACCTATCGTCCATCATCCAACGGGCATCCTCACAACAGGGCATTCCTTCGTACATTCATATTTAAGCCAAAGAGTTGAGGAAGCTCATAAGCTTATCCATAAATGTTTTTTATATATACATCTTATTTATATGCTTTTTGATGAAATATAAATTGATTTATTTAGTTCAGTTACATATAATTACCAAAGCATGTATGGCTATGCGCCTGTTTTCAATAATCAGTGGTTAATGATCATCGCCAATATCTTTTGCTCAAATTTTAAGTACCACTCCTGTACGTTTAAGTTGGTGAACTTTAAGTCTTCACATAAGAGAGAAAGAGCAAATTAAGTTGCATAGAGAGTGTGACCATAAATTAAACTATGACATGAGGTGAGTATTGTTGGGGAAAATCTTATTTAGTATAAAAGTGCATTAAGAAGAGCTTCGAGGGTCGATCTCATCGGAAGAAGACAGCTGACTCCAGTGGCTCTGCACCAGTTTGGCTTTTATACAAGCTTCATGCTGACCCAGTCAACGAGATATCCTCCCTAGTTTCGAAAAAGGGCTAATCCTTCATACATCATATGATGGACCTCATACGAGCTTTTGTAATTAATCTCATTTAGTACTCATATTGCCTACAGGCGTTACACGCGTACACACAAACAAACACGTACACAGACGTTAATACAGATAGACACACTCAAGTAAAACTACCAT